CAGGAAAGTCCTTGAACAGTTTACTGTTCGCAGCATCTACAACAACAGGAGAACTGTTTTTAACAGATGTAAACTCTAAAATTTGCTTCAGTCCATTTTAAATTTATGTTTTTCACACCAGGAACACGAACGCCTCACAGAACAAACCAGAGGCAGCGCCAGTCTGTCACCGTAACGGATTCAAACGGTCGTCTATCGCCGCACCAGCAGCTTTGTTAAACATTCATTATTTTATTGATCTCTTCTGTTATTGAAGAGAACAGCGTCAGTGGATGAGGTTCACAGACCAGTTCAGTCGGTGATGGGATTTGACACAGTACTGTGTGATAATTGTGAGTTGAGTGAATCGTTACAACTGAAAACTCTCACCCTGGGTGAAGTTGAGAACCATTGGCAAACCCGTGGTGTTGGTCCTCGTCAATCTGGTCTCATTACTGGTCAGTACGGACAGCTGTTCAAATCCCAGACACGTACCCCAAATAGGGAAGTAGTCGCCTCTGTTGTTTGCCTGAAAAAGATCAATGAATCCTGGATGTCACCTCGTACAAACCAACAGAAACACGAAACTAAGTTGTTGTTGTTGTTTTTTTTTCTAAAAAAAATCCCTTTTACATCAATGGCCAGTTCATAGAAGATCTTTGCTGCCCTCTGGTAGCTGGAGGAGAAAAGGTCAGCAGATCCACCAGGAAACAGGATCCTGAACAGATCAACACACACGCAGAGAAAATTCATTCAAAAACATCTTGGCCTACGGCCCACGACTGGGCCATAAGTTGGTGCCTCAACAACAGGTTGTGTTTTCCAGTCCTCACCCGTTAATGGAGTTGAAGAGTTTCTTGTATTCTGCCAGAGGTCGATCGACCCTGTGACACAGGAACACAATCAGAAATTAGAACTTTATCACAGCTCCGTGCCTACACACACACAAACACACACTCTTCTCCTTCTCTCTCCGTGACACTGTCATCGTTTTCAATAATAACTATTGTTAATAAAATAAAAAATCTAGCAGTTCATGGACAGAAAACACTGTCAACATTCTTCTCCCTCTCTAATAACCCGCTCCCTGTGAAGTCCAGCGGGACAGATGTGATTTATACGAATCAAAACTGACTTGACTTAAATCAGAAACTGTCAGTTTCGACCAGTGAGGATTTGAATTGATCTCTTCTGGTCCCCGGTTTGATTCCCAGTGAGAGAGAAAAAGAACCAGACTCACAGGACAGGAACCACTTTGGCTCCTGCAGACTCCAGATACTTCACATAAGAGGCGGCAATGTAGGCCGGATCATTTCCCTTGGCGTACCGTGATTGCTGAGACAGGACACCTTTGGGAACAACACCATTTGTCAATAGTCAGGATGATCAATATTATCGATCGACTGAAGTTCAGTGTTTCAATTCATTCAAATATCAGAAATCTGCACAGGTTTAAAACTTTTAATTTGAACATTCTGGGGAGTTTTGAGTTGAAGATATTTAATTCTGAAAATTAAAGCAAAACATGAAACTTCTGGTGAGAAAGTGAGAAATCCCACGTTCCCTCTCAATCTCGAGTGTAAATCTGGACATTAATGTCAGAAAAATCAGAGTTCCTGCTGTTTCTGAAGTTGTTACACTGTTTTTTATTTTATTTTAAACTAAAAACCACAGTGAAAACAGAGAAATGAAAACACCAACTCACCAACGACGGGATTTTCATTTCCTTCTGCGAAAGAAAAACATGGAAACGAAGAAACAAATAAGAATAAAAAACAAATCTGAATCATGATTTGTTTGTCTGCCTCAGGGCAGTCACTCGAATTATCATTAAAAATTAAAAAAATAAAATCATATCGAAATGTCGAAACCAATCTCGGTCCTTCCGTCTGAGTAAGTGACCAGGCCGGATGTGTCTCTGTTCAAAGTCCGCTGCCCCACTGTACGGTTACAGTGCGGAGCTTAAGTTCCGCTGCGTGTCTTCCGGTGTTTTTAGCCGTTGAGTGGTCACGTGACCCCACGGGTGTTTTGGGGAGACGAGAAATGAGAACATCTACGTCACAATCGTCTGGTTCGACCCTCGACCGTTTACGTTAAAATTAATTTTACGACCTCGTACCCTTTGCCTTAATAATAATAATAATAATAATATCGTGGCGTTATTACTATTGGCATCATTAATTAATATTTTATTGTGTATAAACATTTTATACATGACATAATTTATTATCATACCTTGTTTATTTTTTAAACTGTGCACTTATTATATTTAGTCAACAAATATTTTTATCCTGAACTGTTGGAGGTAGAGTACACAGGAATTTTCCAAAACCAGAAAAATCTAACAGGCCTAGGACAGAATTTGTTGTTGGAGGGGTTGGCAATGGGAGGTGTGGGAGGGGGGTTATTTTGTGTTGAAAAATCAGAAAAAGCTTAAACTTCTCTCAACACACTCAATTTATTTTCCCTCTGACGGGAAGCAGGGAGAAGCTTTTGATCCTTCAATCACCGCTTTCAAAAGTGGCAGTGAGGAGTGGTCAGTTGATGATGATGTCACAGCCGGTCTGGTCGGTGACGATCAGCTGCTTCGCGTCCACAGCAGCTGCGGAGGTGGCCAGATCTTCATGTAACCTGCCGATGACGTCCGCGGTCAGAGCTGGAGTTCGAGCCAGGATCCAGGCAAAGTCGACGTGGAAAAGACCAAAGTATTGGCTGCAGGAGTAGACCAGAGAGTAGGAGTGGTAATCTGTGGACAGCACCATGTAGGGTGAACTTGGAAAACCTGGAATCACAGATGATTGGCTGTTAAAGGATGAGTTAGTGAAGGGGTTGTTTGGGTCCTTTTTAAAGCTAAAAGAAATGAGGCTGGAGATGAGAGAAGTCGAAATATATAATATAACAGTGAGCACTTTGGATTTTACCTTTAAAGAAGCTGACACTGAGGACGGCAGGCTGAGAAGGATCCTTAACTTTAGCCACACCTTGGATTGAATTTACCGTCCCGTCAGAGCTGAGAACAAAACAAACAAACAAAAAACACAGAACACGGTTCATAGAACCAAAGACCAAAAGAAATAATTAATTGTTGGAGAAACAATAATGAACAGATGCATTTTCTGCAGTAAAAATCCTTACAGAATCTCAGAGTTGTAGACGTTGACCGTTCCATCACTGAGGAGAGAGTACGACGCCTGGACGCACTTTCCTCTTTCAAATGCTGCTGGAAGCTTTTCGATCTCATACCAGACTCCCATGTACTGGAAACAGGGACGGGTGAGGAGTTAGTCTGAGGCAGCGGTGATTTATTTGATTTATTCTTCGGGAAAAAACATGTTTCACCTGTGAAACGTTCAAATTCTCCTGAACTGAAGGTCGAGGGCAGGAGCCGAGGTGGAAGGTCTGACCTTCAGCTGCAGCCAGCGTCACTGACAACACGACCAGGACCTGCACAACAAGAACCATGGAGAGGGTCAGTCACAACTGGTTTCAGTGTTAAAAAAAATAAATAAAAAACTTTGATGAAAACAGTAACAAATCAGTACCTGGAAGTTGCACATGTTCAGCTGTCACTGATATCCAGGGTCCAGTGAAGGTCCACGCTCCACGTTTGTCTTAAACAAACTGACCTTTGTCAGATTTTTGTCCCAGACAAAACAAAGAAAAACAAAACACGACGTTCGGTGTCCCAAGAGATAAAAGTAGTTTCTGTTGACAAAACCTTTGCCCTCAGACAGTCGCAGCTGAAACCACCTACATTTACTTTTTTTTAAGTTCTACCTTTTCTTTTGGTATCAATATTCCAGTTTCTAGCTCTGTTTGTTTTTCTGTCTACTCCAATTTTTCTGGTATGATATGAAACTCATAGTCTTTATTGTTATTGTAACACAAGGATACAACGAAACGGAGCCTCTGCTTTTAAGCCTGTCGGTGAGTGAATGTTTGATGAAGGATAAAAACAAAATGTCTTATGAAAAGAAAAAAAACACTTTATTCAACAAAGCACCAACGCTCATACAAAATCATGTGCTCTCACTTTTTGCCTGTGAAAATTCAACTGCTGTCTTGCATTGTTTTGCTTTGTTTTTCTTTTCTTTCACTCTCAAGTGTGGTTTTCTGCTCCCTTGGACTAAAGTGGATCCTGTTCGACTTTGTCAACATTCTCCAAAAACTTTCTAAAAATACAAAATCTAGTGAAAACTAAAAAACAAAACAAAAAAAAAATCTGGCAAAAAAGTGAGAAAATAAAAACAGTCACTTTACAAACACGGCAGGATAAATTACATTCTTAAATTTCATCACTTGTTTTCATGTTATGTGCTTGTGATGACATAAATAATAAACTGGATGTAAAATAAATAGTCCATGAAGAAAAATGAGCTGCGAGGGAGTGAAAAGAACAGGGTTTATAAAAAAAAAATTAAATAAAAAACATTCAAATGGAAAAAAGCTTTGAATCTAAAACTGATTCTTTAGTAAAAGAAAAAAAAGGTACAGTGCAACGAAAAAGAACTTTGGTGGAAACGTTGGCTTCAAAAAACCAAAAAATTTGTATGTAAAAAAATTTGGTCTAAATTTCTCTTCAATTTGATTTTTTTTTTTAAATTGCAACTCTGGACATGTTTTGTGGAGTCGTGGCCCAGACAGGAAGAGTCTTCATTGGCTAACACCTGATATCTAGAATGTGGCCCACATCTGGTCTGTAGTATGGAGTCCAGACAGTGGGCCACATTCTTCTGGCCTGAATGGTTTTATCTGATCCAACATGGAGCCAGGAGGGCTTTGGTTTATGTTCTGGCCATGACGTAGCCCACATCCTTGAGACCAAATGTCAGCCTATCGGTGGTAGTTGTTTTGCCTATCATTGGGCCAGACCACTTTGTGGTTCTCAACCTCTGGGTCTTTGCTTTCAGTCTTTTAAAGAATAAAAAGACAATAACAGAAAGAGGCGCCACAGCCTACGCTCATCCGAACCACAATGTGAAGACTTTTCTGGGATTCAGACTCAGAATGTGTCCTGTTTTCATCCAACCCACATTTCTCTTCATCCCACTGATAAAACAAGGATTTAAAGACGGTTCTGTGATCTCAGAAAAACAAAAAAACACAGAGACATTTAACAAAGCACCAAAGAAGTGAAAAGGGAAAAAAAATATAAATCTTTTTCATCCCAGAGTGTTGGACAGTGAATGTGGCCCACTTGGGTCACAAAGTGGAGTGGTTTAGGGACTTATTGGTTCATACTGGTTCAACGTGGACTTAAGCGCTCTTATGGGTCTCGATGCAGAGGACGATGAATTCATTGGAGCAGCTCCTGGTCTGCTGACCCAGGAGTAGACCTGAGGTCAACTTGGACGACTGGCCCATAACAGAAACATGGTCCGTAGCCCACGTCTCACAGTGTTTGTCTAACACACGGTAACCTCTGCTGTTAGACCCGTGCCAAATGTTCTTCTGAGGCCTGGTGGAAAAAACAGAACATGTAAGAACATCACGACTGTAGTGAAGAACAAAAAAACGAATCGGACCAGATCTACGGACCAGAACGGGTCAGCTAACACATCGCGACCGTCAAAGGAGTAGATGGGAATCCTGGAGTTAAGTGGAGCTCCGTCTCCGTTGAAGATGGACTTCCAGCTCCAGAACATCACCTCTCCCTGCAGGAAGATCAACAAGCCATGACTGAAGCTTTAAAACTGATGTGAAGGTTAAAGGTCGGTGTCGGAGCCTCAGAGCGGACCTACCCTCAGGTTAGTGACAGGAAGCGTGTCCCTGAAGTTGGGGTAGACCACATGGACCAGGTCCTGTCTGTGGGAGGAGATGAAGGCTCTGTAATTGGTGGCTAAACCCATGGCTTTGGCCTGCTCGTAGCACATCCTGTCCGCCATGTCCAGGCCCAACATGTCTCCAGAGTGAGGCTGGTTCAGAGCCACCAGGTTCAGCTGGACGGAGGAGATGGAGAACCCAGAACATTCAGCACATGGAGACGGAAACAAACAACAGAAATCTGTAATGATGTGACAACACAGTGTGAGGAGGGAGCAGGGAGCAGGGCTGGGCTCAAATAAGTAATTAATAAATAATAACTTTAACTGAATGTCACTCCTTTAACTTTTATGTTTCCTCTCGTTTGTGTTCTCGTGAACTCACCCTGTTACTGACTGAGGGGAGTCTCTTCACCGTGTCTCCTCTGACCTGATAGGCCACGTCAGGCTGACAGAACAAACACACAAAGTTTTCTTACAACTACTGTTTACAGATTTTAATCTTTTTTTTTTTTTTACCAATGACGTCACGGACACAGACCTGGTCCTGGGGGATGATGTTTGTGGAAAGGTAGATCAGGCTGCCCAGCTGTGAGGACGGGAGAAAAAAAGTCCAGTCAGAAAGACCTCCCTCTACTGGTACATGTATCATGATGAGACAAACAAGCATTCACACTAACATTCACACCTGTGGTCAGAGTAGAGTGGACATTACAGAAAGACCCGCCATCCCTGAATGTTCCGGAACATCACTCACTTTTTCTCTTCTTTTTTTTTTACCTGAATCTCTTTCCATCCCTGTGAAACCTTGAGAAAGAGACTTCCTGTGTCTGTGACGTAGGTCAAAGTTCCTTCAGCGTCTCTGACGGTCTGCTGCATCATGCTCTCACGGCTCGGAAAGGTTTTTAGCTAAAAAAATAAAAATAAAATTGCACATAATATACTGTCATTCTGCCCAAAATTATTACAAAACATTTCAATTAAATTCATTCATATAACTAACAAAAAATATGCAAACAAAACCAAAAGTTTAGCATTTAGCAGTTTATGCATCTTCAGGCAAAACCAATGAACTCACAGATCCAAAATTTCCTGAGGTTCCAGGGGGTCCTGGAGGTCCTGGAGGTCCCGCAGGTCCAGCAATGCTCACTGCAGACATGGAGGTCGTTAAAGTGGTTGATTAAAGTCCAAGTAGAACTTCATGGTTCTGACATGACAAATAATAGATCAATACCTGAGCCATATCTGGAGGCAGGAAGTCCCGGAGGCCCCGGTGGTCCAGGGAGGCCAGGAGGACCTGGTCTACCAATGCCTGGAAGTCCAGGTACGCCCTGATACCCAGGAAGTCCTGGATGACCGACACCTGATTCTCCCTTTGGACCCTGAAACATGTCAGGGTGATGTTTTTCAGTCTCGGCTTCTGTTCATGTCGGTTCTGTATCTGTGGAACTGGGACTCACCATCAGTCCTTGTCTTCCAGGAATTCCAGGTAATCCTGGAGAACCAGTCTCACCCTTTTCTCCTTTCTGTCCTTTGACTCCCTGCTCACCGACAGGCAACTGTGATCAAACACAAACACAAACACACACACACACACACTGGTTGAAGGTAAATCAAAGCTGTAGTAACAACATTTCAGAGGCTCATTGTAAAATAGAGCCACTAGGTGGCAGTAATGCAACTCCCTGGGGGTCATATTTGGTCCAAACACTTACCGAAATTCCTCTGTGAAAATATGTTGCTGGAACAAAGAAAAATACAATCATTTAGAGATTTTCTCTGAACTAAATATTTGAACATATATTTAAAAGAGTAATAATGATGTTGACCAGTAGGACTCACCTGGTGGAGCCGGCATCCCAGGAAGACCCCGCTCGCCCTTCTCCCCCTTAGCTCCAGTCTGACAGTTGCCTTGGAGACACAGAAACATTCCTTTACGTTAAAACTGGTCGGACATCATTCAGTGACCGATGTGACTCCGTCAGGACGGGATTATAGAATCAACCTACCGGCAGAGATGGTTCCATTGGGATTGAGCTGCAGTCATTTGACAAGAACAGGAACAGCAGTGAGTGATGATGACCATGTCAGAGGACAAATGTTACTCACACAGATTTAGGATGTTAGTCCATTATGGGATTTTACTGACACCGACATGCAGCAGCAGATTATCAGATTATCAGATTACGGTGGAGTTTAGTAAAACTACCTCAGTAGGTTTGTGACAGCGAGCCTTCAGTTTCCCAGATTCCATGTGAAGCATGCATGAGAATGAAGGAGTGGACCTCAAACCCATCTGTGTGGCACAGTGTTAGTGAACATGCACTTTAGTGGGGAGACAAAGACGAAGTGAACAAACACCCAGGCATCATGGGAGTTAGGATGGACGTGTGGAAGTTAAAACCGTCTCCACGGCTCAGTTAATCCTCTGGATTAACTCATCTTGTAATGAAGAAAAAAATATGAATATAAATGAAAAAAACCCACTCTCACGGCCCATGTAAGGGACCAGAGCCAGTGTTTGGATCGATGAAGCACAGATCCCTGTCTTATATCAAACAGTGCCTGGTACTATTTATAAAAGTACAGTCAGTATAAATATATTTCAATATAAAGTATGAAATATAAAAATCTACAATAACATATCACCACCACCCTGCAGTACTCCTACAGACCACCTGGGGGTGGATCAAACATCTGTTTAATGTTTTTCAATGTTTTTTTCACGTTAATGTGTTTTGATGAAAGTAAACGTGAAAAAATGAATAAAATTCTATGAAAAAAAGTGAAAATAATATTTTTTTCTTCACCACAAGCTGTGATTAAAGTTATTGACCAGTTCATGCTGAAACCGTTTTGTTTACAGTGACTTCATAAAGAATCAGACCCATTTATTTGACCTTTCTGGGTTTTTTTTTTTGTAATAATCCTAGTATTACTAGTTTCACAACAGTACTAGTAACAGTTTTTTTATCAGAAAGGTTTAAAATATTAAATGTGGTCTGAAGACTTTGTGAAAAAACCCACTGTAGACCTGAACTTACAGCCATTTTGCAGTGGGGTCTCGGAGGGACGGGAAAAACTGTCTTCAGACACCAGGAGAGGAGAGGAGACCGTGAGCATTTACCAAGTTTGGTTTTTTTTTAACCCAAATAACCTCAGGAAAAAAAACTGTATAAATGTATGTGTGTGTGTGTGTGTGTGTGTGTGTCTTACCCCTTTAGGGCAGTTGAAGATTCCTGGACGGCCTGGTGGTCCAGGACGACCAGGAGGTCCCTGAACATCCAGGACAGAAGAGCAGAACGAGCTCAGAGTGAGAAAATTCTCTTCTTTAGTTTAACTGAATCACAGAAGCTCCTGACGTCACCCCGACTCACCTGCAGTCCCCCTGAATCTCCTTTCTCACCCTTTGATCCCATCACACCTGCACGACCCTGAGCAGACGCAGACACATCAACCAAACACCTCATGACAGAAAAGTGACTTTGATACAATTAATCCCCTTAAATATTTTTTCATCGTATTTCTCCAACACAATTTGTCGCAATTTCTTGTATTTTTTCCCCCTAGTAAAAAAAGGCCCTTCAGCGCCCTCTAAGGTTGGCCCTGCGGAACTTTTTACTTTTTCTCAGCCTGATTATCAGCTTCTGTTTTTTGCGTCACTTCGTTTTTGTCTCAAATGTCTAAAATAAGACTTGAAGAGGAGTGTCTTTGTCTTTGTCGGGTTTTTTCCCTGGTTCTGGTCATGTCGATGGTTCTTACCGGCCGTCCAGGAAGACCCAGCTCTCCTTTGGTTCCTTGAGGTCCCACAGGTCCCTGTCAGAAACACACCAGTGAAGTCAGTTCAGTTCAGCTACTGTGACCAGTGAAGAGAAAAGTCACTGCTTTCATACCCACCTGAACACCAGAAGGTCCAGGCAAACCCAGGTCTCCCTGTAAACACAGACAGGTTTTACTGACACCTACAGGCACTTTGATGAAGTTTCATAAAAAAACAAAAAATCGTTTTTTTGAACAGTGACAAACATGGTGTGGAATAAACAACGCAGAGGTTAAAAGGGTTTAAGGACCTTCACTCCTCTAGGTCCAGCTGGACCAGGAAGTCCTGACACCAAGGTTCCGTCTGAGGTCTTAATTATTCCAGGTTCACCTTTTTCACCCTGCAGGTAAAAAAACCACAAAGTCAACCATAAAAGAAAATCCAGATGTAGATAAAAAATATATTTCTCTAGTTCCAGAACACTAACCTTAAGTCCTGGAGGTCCTTGAATACCTGGAGAACCAATGTCTCCTTTTGGACCCTGTATTCCCTGGACAGAGCAAAAATGTGAGAAAAACAGGGGTCTGACTTGGACATGATCGACAAACTCAAGGCCCGCGAAACAAATCTGGCCTGCCACCTCATTTTATGTGGCCCACAAGATCTTAAAGAACATGTGGTTTTTTGTCCAGACTTGGACAACTGTTAATCCTGTTTGGCTGGGAGTTTGACATCCGTGGGGTAAATTATTTATTTGGCACATTACTGACACCTGGCGGTAACAAGAAGCTGTCACACTTCTTACTATTTTGTACTGACAAAAAAAAACTCCTGGTGGTACAGCCAAGCACTGCAGTCAGCTTTTTACTCACCATTAATGCATGAGGTTCTGAGAAGTTGAAGACGCCGTCAGTGTCGTTGAGAAGAAGCTGCAGGAGAGACGAGAACTTTACTGTGTTTTCTTAGGTCCATGAAGGCACCGTGAAGACAACAAAGTGAAGGTTTCTGTCCATAAACCATGACCGCCGGGTTACAGCTGCTCTTCTCACCTCCTGGAGGTTGATAACGGGTCCTGCTGGTCCAGGTGGTCCTGGAGGGCCTGGAAGTCCAACTCCATCTCGTCCTGGTTCTCCCTGAAACACACATTTTGACCTTCAAAGTCACAAATGTGCTTCAAGGTTCTAATCCATGTCCACCTTCATCCTTTCCTGATGGTGTTACCTTCAGTCCCGGGTCTCCTCTGTCGCCCTTTGGTCCCTACAGACCAACAGAGTCATTAGTAAAAACTGGTCCGGTATTCTCTGTCAGGTACAGACTGATAGAGACTGTCTTAGAATGACGTATAAAAATATAAAGTTCTCACCTCTGTCCCATTTTTTCCATTAAGACCTGGTAATCCTGGAGTTCCTGGAAACCCAGTATCCCCCTGCAGAAGAATGAGAAAGTGTTTGTGTTTTCACAGCTCAGTTTGGGTTCCTGCAGAAACGATGACTAAATATAAAAATGTATGGATTCTCATTGAACAGCTGGTGAAATGAGAAGCCCTGTGTCTGGAGACCAGGGTCTCTTGACTTTACTGAACTTGGCTTTTATTGAATCACAGATTCTGATTCCATGGATGCAGAAACAAAAACTGGCGGACACACCTTTTGTCCTGGAGTTCCTGGAATTCCTGGCAAACCACTTTTACCCTGCAACAAGAGGCAAAGAGAAAAAATGTGAACGTTTACTCAGACAAACCAAACTTCCGTTCACTCTGGTTCAGAACCCTTACCTTCAGTCCTGGAACTCCAGGCTGTCCCTGTATAACAACAGTAATATCTCAGTGTTATTTGAAGCTGATCGAAACTGAAAACCTTCTGGGTTGAAGCCGACGGCTGTTCTGTACCTGTTGACCTTTGGAGAATGGACCAAACCCATTGAGCACACCAGAACCTTCCATGTCCTGCAGTAGAAGAAGATCACAAGGTGAGATCCTGGAACAGGTCCTGGAACAGACCCTGGTTCAAAAGTCAAAAGATTTTTACCTCAAAGTCCAACATGAGGCCACTTCCAGGCAGTCCTGGACGCCCAGGAGGACCAGGTAGACCAGGTGGACCCCTGGGGCCGGTCTGTCCTTCTACACCTTGTGAGCCTTGAAGACCTGGAATACCTGGATGTCCCTGATCTCCCTAAAGCAACACAGGTTAGATGTAAACAAGAAAATAAAAACAAACAGGTTAAATTGGACTAAAGTGAGGATTCAGCCCGACATCTGATCTGTCACCTTTGGTCCTGTTTGTCCAGCCACACCAGGAGCCCCCTGTTGGTGAAAAGAAAAATAAAACTTTAAGTGACAATAGAACCTCAGCCTCTGAAAGACTGCAGCTCTGACTTTCTGGTCTAGAAATCCCTGAACTTTTATTTCTTAATTTGTCAAAAGTTTTCTCCTGATAATTGTCTAATATTATAAATAGAACAGTAACTTTTTAAACTGCGGAAAATACAGTAAACAAACAGTTAAAATACAGCAGCACAGGTCAGACAGTCGTAGTGAGAATCAGTTCCACTGCTTTACCACCAGAGGGCCCCAAAGTGCCGCTAATGGTAATGTACTGAGATTAGGAACCACTTTGTTACACAAATATAATTTGTGTAACGTCTATATTTCTTTTCATGACTATCATGAACCGACATCATCACCTGTTCTCCCTTTGCTCCTGTGGATCCTGGTTCTCCGTCTTTGCCGTTGATTCCCTGGAACATAAACAAATAAAGTTCATTCACTGAAAGAATTAAAAAAGTACCCGTGCCATAAGGTCAAGAGGTCAAAGCTGAGCAGTATTAAAGATTGTTTATGTGAATTCATTCACAGTTAGTAAAAGCCTGTGATGTGAGTTTCTCATGAGGAAAAGACACATTTCCCTGAACAGCAGCTGAAGCTCAGACCATGTTGACAAGATCTTTCTTTAGCTTCTGCCCAAAATCATGCTAAAGATTTGCAGTCTGCAAATGAAGGCGGAAGTGACCAGAAAGATCAGGACAGCTGGTACCTTTATTAACTTTTTATCAACTTTTATCTTTGTCTAAACTAACATTTATCTAATTTGCTAACCTTTAGCTATCTATATTTTGGGACAAGTTTAAGCTTTTTCTAGGCTAACAACTACCTCTAATGACTAACTTTGACTAGCTATATTGTGGGAGAATCTTTTTATAACAAAAACATTAGTTTAGCCAATATTTTTCTGAACTAACTCTAAAGTATCTCTGCTAGCCCGTAGCTATGTATGTTTTGGCTAAGTTTAAAGTTTCGACATTTTGTCACATTGTTTTGTTGACGTCTAAGAGACAAAATGTCCAGTTCAGATCCATGGTCTGTTTTAAGGACAGTCGGGGAAATTCTGTCTTTTCAGTCCCTTGACTTTCAGGGGACCAAATGTTAATACCTCACCAGTCCCTGAGTCAAAACCAGAACCAAAGGCAGAACCAGAACCAGAACCACTAAACCACTCCCCAATCACCTGGAAACAGAAGTTACATCAGAGGAGGAACGGATCTGAAGACTAAAGAGCGCCATCAAGTGATGATCACGGTTAAAGATTAATTTAAAAAAATAAACAAAAAGTAAGAGTTTTCTGCAGGGAGACTTTTTGTTTGTAAAAGTATTTTTTTACACTGTTGTTCTTTTAATGTTCAGTAAAGTTGGTCAAATAAAAATAAATAAAACTCACAGGGAGACCTGGTTCTCCTCTCTGTCCATCTATTCCATTTTTCCCAGGGGCCCCTGGGGGTCCAGACAAGACGCCCGCTGTGGAGTTTCCTGGAGGCCCTGGTCGACCTGGAGGGCCTGGAGGTCCTGGAGGCCCCTGGATTTAAAAAGTAAAAGTCACAATGTTAATGAATCATGGAAAAAAAGTGAATTAATGCAGACAGAATAAATAAATTGGACCCACCCGGATCAGCCCCTCTACATCACCATCAAAGTCACTGTATCCTGACCCCTCCTGGATAGAAATGGGACAGTCAGTGATCCATGAGGTTCCTCAAAAACCTTCACTCATTAAACTGTTGTTTAAATAAACGGCACAAAAACTGTTAAACTTACAGAATAAAGGGAAAGTTTTCCTACAGGTCCAGGAGGTCCTTGAGGACCTGGAGGTCCTGGTAATCCAATGCCTGCGTCCCCCTGAGGAACACATCATGGAAGACTCAGTCTCTGACATGTGAGTTTTTTTATTGTCTTCAGGAAAAATAAATATTTTATATTTTCCAGATTCATTTTAGAATTTACCTTCTCTCCCTGAGGACCAGGTTCACCCTGAAGTCCTGGAATTCCTTGAACCCCAGGTACGCCCTGGAAAAGAACATTCATATTTCTGCGTCAGAAATGCAGAGACAGATTTGTGTTCTCGTATCATGTTCCACACAGACCGTTCATCCAGGTACAACTACGTTCCTCATTCCTGAATAACCTTTCCCTGGAGACATTTAAATACAGACTGAATACATTTCCAGGCCTGGAAAAAACATTTACCTGCAGCCCAGGTTCACCTTTACTGCCCTGGAGACAGGAGAAGAAAATGAAGGAAACGTTTGTTGTTGTTTTTTCTTCTCTTCATATGTTGTTGTTTTTCCTTCTATCTGTTGATGTCTCACCAGCTGTCCGTCCTTTCCTGAAGTTCCAGGGAGACCCATTCGTCCCTGTGGCCCCTGCGGCCCCTCAGGTCCAGGTCTCCCATCAGTTGCAGCCTTTCCCGCAGGTCCAGGCGGTCCACGTGGACCAGGGGGACCAGGATAACCTCTAGCACCAGGAGGACCCTGAGACGAACAGATTTATTAAATCGTTGATGTGAGATCAGGCGACAGAAATCCGTTCACTGATAGAAAATAAAAACTCACAGTAAAGACACTGGAGAGGATGCCTGATCGACCTGTGACACAGAAACATTTTTACACATTCGTTTGAAACAATCACACAGGAAACAGTCAAACATGTATGAAGCAATATCTGAAAAGAAATAAGTCACAATTAAACTGCCTCATAGCACCATCTGCTGGCTGCTTGTCTTTAACACATCATGCTTCAGTGTTTTCGTGTACAGCAGACCTGTTAAACGGCAAACATTAAAAAGCCTTCTTGCGCCTCCCCCTGAATTGCTCTGGCGCCCTCTAGTGAAGGGCTGAGTCAAAATTTGAAAAACAAATTAATTTGAATTAAAAAAGTTCTGGCTCCATCCATCAAGTTTATATCAGGATTATTGAAATAACATTTTCTACACTCGTTTACATTGTAACTCTTTAACAGTGACGTCCTGTTCAGTACCTGTAGCTGTGGTGGGCGCCTCCTCCTCCTTCTCCCTCTTCTCCTCATGTCCAGACGCCTCCTCTGCGTCTCCATAGTCTTCATCATCACTGCCAACGGGCATCTCGGTTGGTGGAGCTTGGACTGGGGTGCTATAGGTGGGGTCTAACTCTAGGGGGGGCTACAAGAAGAGCACACAATGAGAAAAAAATGTAAACGTACATGTACGTGTCTATGTGTGTGTGTGTGTGTTAGGACACACACCACAGTAAACACTCTCTCCTCCACCACTTTCTTCACTTCTTCTCCATCATCAGTGTCGTCATACTCCGCGTCACCGCTGCCAAATCCAGACGCCTGCAGGAAAAACAAGGAATAAACATGGAGAGGAAATAGGAACGACGACAAAGAGACTTAATAATAAAAAAAAATCCACACTCAACCTAATGGGAGATTCCACCTGTACTCACCACTAGAGGGAGCAATTTATGTAGGTTTTGTAAGTTTTGAACTTTTTTATTTTTTTTCCAGAAATGTTGGGTTAGTGTTCATCTATGTGTGTATGTGTGTTGACACTCACATAAGGATCGTCCTCCTCACACTGGTCGTCAGGAGCCGTGACGTCAGATTTGAGCAGCAGCTGTTGGATGGAGCCCTGGACACAGAAGAGGAGAAGATGAAGAAGAGTGGAGTAGTTAAGAGGGTGTGTGTGTGTGTGTGTTCCAGTCAGCTGTGACTTTGACGTGAGATCATGGATCAGATCAACGTCACCTGATGTTTGAGATTTGTGACAATAATCAGTTTGATCCTTTCATCTACGGTTGTAGACGTTCACTGATAACTGTTAAGAGGGTGTCCCACGGTGTGTGTGTGTGTGTGTGTGTGTGGAGACAGTTCGGTCTGGTTACTGTTCTGGTTGTTCCACCGATCGTTCTGCAGCGTCACCGGTCAGAGAACTTCACGTCACGTTTAAATGTTTGTGGGGAACAGTTGTGTGTCTGTGTCTGTGTCTTGTTGTGGAAAATGCTGTAACCAAAGCAGCAGCAGAGGCTCTCAGTGGATGAATACATTCATGTTAATATAATACATTAATACATACAGCCTTAAATTTAGTGGATCAGGAAACAATTTTTTTTTTTTTAAAAAGAGTTTGTCAATGTTTTATTGATTATTAATATGGAAGTAGTTTTTATTTTCGAACCTGACAAATTATAGCTCATTATAATTTATGTGAATTTTCTTCATCCCAACCACAGGGAGGTCATGTGACCTTTCAGTAACAGAGGGTTCACAGCTCACATCTCGACCAGAGTCTGAGTGAAAAACAAACAACCCTGTGATTTATCCTCACTTCTATATGAACAGATGTACAGAGAATAGAACCAACGTCTTTTTCATTCCAGATCTGACAGTTTTACTCTCAGTGTAAACTGATCCAGATGAGTCTGTGGGATTTGATCCACTTCAGTAAATCACACGTTAGGTGTCATTTATGAGGCCTCGCTGTTAAACACATACAGACATTCTGTTCTGTTCCCATCACCACCACCTCTGTGAACCCATCAGACCACCAGCTGCACCTCTCTCACAAACCCCATGTAGGGTTGAGAAAAGATGTTCAGTCCGTCCAATCATCAGACAGACGCCCAGATTCCACTCCATCACACGGCTGTAACGCCGTTATAACAACAAACTTTCTCTGGAATCAAACCCTTAACCCTTCACTCAAACAATGGAGGTCCAGCCCGTGTATACAACAGCTATTAAATATCACATTTATTTATAAACACGTCGGTCAATCTGAGTGAATACTCACCACAAACCGGGTCAGTCCCGTTCCTCCAGCATTCCCAACAAATATTCCTGAG